CATCTCATCTCTAGTTCATATATCGAAAATCATTGAAATTCTATTGCTGAATTCTGTGTGGTACTTCTATTTGCTAATCACGAAAAAATGATGATGCTCTCGACTCGTGCAACTGAACTACCGGATTGCTAGATGCAGACTGCTTACAAAATATAGTAGTGCCAAAATGACCAAATTTGGTATTGTTTATGAAAAGACGTGCTCTGTGGGACGAACGAAAATTCGATCCGTAAGTCCTTATTTCTCGTCGAGTTTTTCATCAATTTTTGTCAAATCGACCACTTTTTGGAAAGATTTTCGCTCTTTTCTTGAAGATTTGTTCCGATGTGGCACTGGGCTGGGAAATCTTGGTCTCGCGCATATCTGCTCTCGATATTTGTTTTAAATCGGTAAAAACCACAGGTTTCTGTCTTGCTCAAAAAATACTCTAGACTTTCTATGTCAAGCATAATAAAACGCGCATAACTTACCATTTGATATATGTGGGTGATTTTAATCAAAACGACCTGCTTTTTATCAATATATCCGTAATCGTCAAATTGTCACAGAAATCGGGCCGGCGAGTAATCAGATATTAGGTAATTGTCAAAGTAAATGCAACTGTCCTTCGGAAATAAAACTTCATCAGTGCAAACCTTGGATAACTCCCAGAGCTGTCGCAAACAGTCAGACTTTGGAGAGGATGGGGGTGCTTCACTAAGACAAGAATTTTTTTTTCTGCTGGGAAAAATCGAGAAATTTTTTTTGGGGCAGGGTGTCGCTGTCCGGATGTCCGCGACTACTAGAAATACGGCTACACCAGTTCCAGTTAATTGGAATTTGTAGAATTGAAACTGATGGACTCATCTTCACACAAAAGTCACATAACTTGTGCTAGAACAAGCTTAGGAGGCTAAAACTTAATCAGCAGAGATTCATCGGCGTCGACTACCAGTATGGGTACACTTTCTGTGCAGAAAAATATTCTTCCACAAATGCAGATACTCTCTTTTTTTTGGTTCTGTGGAATTAGAAATACCCCTAACCGTATTTTATCCTTTTTGGTCTTATAAGATTTCTTTGAGTGTATTTCTAATTCCACAGAACCAAAAAAGAAGAGGGTATCTGCGTTTGTTACCCAGAGATTCCAGAAAGGGTATCCCGGCATGGAAATACCCTTTTTGGTTCTGTACGATACGAAAAATTTTTAGTGTGAAAGTTACCGATTATACGATCAATACCCGAAATTTGAGAAATGCAAGAAAATTCCAAGTTTCGTTTTGTCTCTGTATGAACAAATTCATAACATTCCTCAATGAATTTATTCATGGTGTCCGTTTGTGTTCTATATATTGCTGAATAAGCCGAAGTCATTCTAGCGCGTAAGAATGATCGGATTCCAATAAGATTTTTGTTTTCATTAATTCATTACTTAATTCACTTACGTTTCCACTTAAACCATTAGACTTGTAAGTATGCCAGATTTCATACCGAGAGAATATACTTTCATTCGGTCAGTAATCAAAGTTGCCATGGAAGGTTTGGTGCACGGTCCCCGTCCGACCGATGGTGCGAAGATGGACCTGGATCTTGGACATTATACAGGAATTGGAGAAAATCGGAGTTATTATTCTCCCTCTCTCGTTAACTTCTTACTCTCGTTCGATGGTTAAATCACATGGATCAGTTTGTTTTTGGTTCTACCGTATTAATTTGAGCTTCTTCACGAGCAATAGAAATAAAAAACTTTTACCCTCCAGAGTGCAAATATGCGCACTGCTCCCAATAATTGACAGATTTGAAAATTTAAGAAGATGGCTTTGTCTTTCACCCTTATTCAAATCAAGGACAAAACAAACACCTTCAATAAGACTGACCTCATCCTCAAACACCAAAAAATGAAAATTTTCCAGATCCAAAGTAATTATTTCAAAGTTATTTTGCATGCGCAGTCCGAATTTTATCTCAATTATTCAAAATAGCAATTAATTGGTGTCACTGGTAGACTTTCTGTTTAAGCGCAAGTGGCTGGAAATCAGTTCATTTGTAGCCAGTGCACTTAACAATGATAATTCAGCAGACAGGACAGTTGCACATATTATTTTAGCCAAATGTTTAGAATTATCACCTGGATGTTGGATATTTGAGCCCGAAACGCCTAACATTTTTAAACAAGCTTCTTGTCCGGGTAATCTTGTTCCACCACCAATTGTTCCAACTTCAAGTGAATGCATTGTGCATGATATATATAAATCTTGTTTATGTAATCCAACTGGTTCTAACCATGTTATACAATTACTACTTGATATAACTTGTGCTGGATCTTGTCCACAAGCAATAAAAATAGCAGCAACAATATTAGCTGCATGGGCATTATAGCCACCAACACTAGAAGCCATTATTGAACCTAATAAATTTTTAGATAAATTTAGTTCAGTTAAACGTTGTGCATTTAATTTTAATTGATTTTCTAATATTTCACAAGGTATTGTTGCTTCACACATAACTGATTTTCCTCGACCATCAATAAAATTTAATGCTGTAGCTTTTTTGTCTGAAAACAGAACGATAAAAGATCAGCTACCGGCTGCATCTTACGTCCACTCTTCTCAAGTGTCTTACCTGTGCAGTAGTTACCGCTTAAACTCATTATTTCTATTGTTGATCCCCATCTAGTTGATTGAAGTAAGCTTAGCACTTCACTAACACCCTTCGATATCATATTCATCCCCATCGCATCACCGGTTGTTGCAACAAATCTAATAAATAATAATTTTCCACATATATTCTTTTTAATAGATATTAATTTAGCGTATGAACTTGTTTTATCAAAAGTTGTTTTCAGTAAATCAAAATTATCATCTAACCAATTAAATGCATGATATGCTTGTTCACCTGTTTGAAATTTAAGTACTGGCCCTCTTGTCATACCATCCTTAAACAATGTTGTACGTATACCACCAGATAATCTTATTACTTTACAACCACGATTTGTACTAGCAACAAGTGCACCTAAGACAGAAAAATTCCAAGTAAAACGCAATAATAACAACGATCGATGTACTTTAAAATACCTTCTGTAGTAGCCAACGGTATATAATATTCCTTTTCATCAATGATCAATGGTCCGACATAACCAACAGGTATTTGTACATAGCCAATAACATTTTCACAACATCGATTAATAACTCTCGAATAATCATAATTTTCATACGGTAAATTATCAATTGTTGATAAGTGTCGTAATATCGATAATTTTTTATTTAATAATGTACGTCTTATCGAAATCGAACGATTATAGGATATATATTTTTCGAGATTTTGGAGTAATAATTCTTTAGACTGAATTAATTGTATTAGTTCCTGATCCGATAATAAATTATAATCTTTTGTAATTGTTGTTGACACATTATTCTCGATATGTTGTTGACGCTGTAAAACGAATGAGGAGAATGTTGTTGGAGAGGCTACTAACAGTCTTTTGAAGAAGAAGCTTGAAAACATGACCGATAAAAATGTTCTTTCAAAAAAGTTGCAGGAAAATATTTGTAAAAGAAATCAAATAGAATAACGATAAAATTGATATCGATGCGTCGTTGATGATATTGTTCTTTATTTCTATTGATCAAATGTTATATTGAAAATCTTCTCAAGATGTGCTTGTCTAAGATTGTTTGGTTACAGTCACGGTCATGTGGAAACGAACCGTTTTGAAAACGTTGAGTGTTCTTGAGGTGTTTTGAGGCAGGTGTAGCCGAGGATTACGCTTATCTAGAGACAAAAAAGATTTCGTCACAGCACTCTTTGGTCTATGGGATACATTCAGAATAAAAACATTACGGACTTATGTTTCGTTATGGACTTTTATGGCGAATTTTCTTTTTTTCTTTTCTTCATCTTACAATGAACGGTCGCTATAATCTTAACTACACGTGACTTCAACTGGACTACAATTTATTTTTATGTGATATCGAAGCTGCTCTATAAGATGATACTCTTAGTTTTTTCCAAAAATACTTTTGTTCTTTGGCCAAGAACGTAAACAATTACGTGAACAAGCCGTATTATTCTTGTTGAAGCTATTTTATGTGCTTAGATGATGAATAATAGTGTATGAATCAATCACAGTCATAACTTTAAACAAACTTTAAGTGTTCTGTAATTTCATTTCTCTTTTTCTTAAAAGTATTCATGCATTATACGCTGAAGTACTCCTAGCATCTAAAAACACTCATTCTTTGTCTTAAAATGCGAATTATTATACAAACAACTATACTTCGACGTAGTTTCTTCATACATACCTATATAGTGTCGGTGGCTCACAGACATCTTTCATCTTCCCCCCAAAATGTTGTCGACGAGTCAGGAAAAAAATTAATGTGTCGACGAATCGGGAATGTACCTTTTTAATCAGTGATATGCAGATGATAGATATTTATTTAAATGAGAGGGAGAGAGAGATAAGTTGCAACAGCAAGAGTACCACATAAATAACATATAGCTGGCTACATTTTTCCATGGGCAATTAAGCAGTGGAATGCCTTACCTACTATTATCACTACAATTTCAACTTTAAGAAAATTCCGTTCTACAATAAAGGATTATTTTTTTCCTAGCTATAAATGGCCAAGATTCAAAAACGTTGAAAGAAAATATGACATGATTCTTAATCAAATGCGAGTAAATTTTTCTCGCTTGAATGATCACCTCTATAAAAAAAACCTTAGTTAGTAGCTCTCAGTATGCTTGTGGGAAGGCTGAAACAGTACAGCATTTCTTCCTAGAGTGTCAATATTACCAGCAACCCATGATGTTTTTTTTCTATAAAATATCTCGATTAGAGGCTATAAAATTTTACTTAGTCAAGGAAATATTGCGCTAAACATTAGAACTATCGCGACAAAATAATTTATCGGTCTCTACCGAGATAAAATACTGCTCCGATAAAGAAGCGTTCTGCAATAAATCTAATTTATCGAGGTAAAATAAAGCATTGCGCTAGTGCTAATATGCATCGCGATGAAACTTATTATCTCGAGAACATGTCAAATATATTTTAGCTCAATAAAGCTAGATAAATTTATTTAAGGCAATAAAGACAGTATTTATCACAATATTCTTCTGTATCTCGATGCATGGCAAATGAATTATTTCTCGATATTTTTTCAGCGTTAAAGTGATACAATTCATCGATAAAAGTGCTAACCGTTGTGACAGAGCACAGATTTTGGATTAATGAATATTTGCTGTACAATATGTATATATAGTGCAGAAGACAAAAGGAAGAGAACACACACAAAAGGGGAGTGATGGAATAAATATGGACATTGAGAGAGTGATATTGAACACAAACAGAGAGTGAATGAATATGAATAGAGAAATAAACAATGGCAGCGAGACATAAAGTGAATGGACAGAGTGAATGAGTATTAGTGGTGCGAATGTACAATTGGTGCAAAGAGAGTGACCAGTGAGAGAGATCACCCATGAAATATTTTTGATACCCTAACGCAGGTTAGCACGCGTTAAAACAACTAATAATTTAACGCATGCGCACAGGTTAAATGGTCTGGAATGCGTGCAAACGTGTGATCTTCTGAACTTGTATGAGACCAGAAATGTCTCGAAATTAATCCTAACTCGTTAAAAACACAATTTCATTATAAAAAATTAAAAGTTGGGTTAAAACGAGTTAATCAGGAAAAGTTTAAAATTGTA